AAATGTTCTCCCACTTTTTATGTTTCGTTTGACCAGGCGTCAATGATTTCAGTTAAGGAAAGTGGTCTGTTACCAGCTTATCTTTTGAGATTTACAAACCAATCTTAAGATATACGATGCATATATTTTAAAAGACGTTTTACAGATCAGGCCAACTTTTTGGTCTGTTTTCAGTTTATAAAAAGGGGTACACAAACCAAACTTCCTCCTGAGGTGTATCTACATATCGATGATCATTTCAATGGGTGCTTTGTATGCTTCATCTGGCCTACATTTTATGCTTCCGTGATTCATTAAGAACAGTTTCAATTTTGTCTTATCACAAGGAGTTTACAAAGCAAACTTCCTTAGCGCATCCCTGGATGTTCTGTTTAATACATTTGTACAAATCTGCATTCTCTTTGAGTATGTCCCACAGGATCACAAGTGATTTGATGAAAATTTACCTCAAAGAAAAAAAAACTATACACTAGTCTGATAAAATGATATGTGTTTTTAAAGCTCCTATACAAATCATAATCAATTGTATGCTATATATAACTGTTTTTGCATCCATACATGGTTTGTGGGATATCTCCCACAAAGAATATATATATATATTGCTATGATATGGTTTGTGGGTCCCTACCCACAAGTATGCTGCACTTTACCCCTTAGGAAACACCTCTAGTTCTCACAGGTGCTTTGATGAAAATTTACCCCAAAGAAAAAAATCTATATACTAGTCTGATAAAATTATATGTGTTTTTTGAGCTCCAATACAAATCATATTCAATTGTATGCTATATATAATTGTTTTTTGAATCCATACATGGTTTGTGGGATATCTCCCACACAGAATATATATATATTGCTATGATATGGTTTGTGGGTCCCTACCCACAAGTATGCTGCACTTTACCCCTTAGGAAACACCTCTAGTTCTCACAGGTGCTTTGATGAAAATTTACCTCAAAGAAAAAACCTATATACTAGTCTGATAAAATGATATGTGTGTTTTTTTTTAGCTCCAATACAAATCATATTCAATTGTATGCTATATATAACTGTTTTTGAATCCATACATGGTTTGTGGGATATCTCCCACAAAGAATATATATATATATATTGCTATGATATGGTTTGTGGGTCCCTACCCACAAGTATGTTATATATAATTATCTACTATAGATCGCTGTGGGACTCATACCCACAATGTAATGACCCACAACGTTATCTATAGCTTTGAAACCAAATATGAGAAAACTTTATAATTTTTCTATATTTGGGATCTACATCAAAAACTATTCTTAAAAATGTGTTTCCTTTTGAAATAAGCCTATTACAAATGCAGGGTCCCATAAACCATGTTTATGTGACATGACCCGCAAACCACGTCAAGTACGTATATATATATATATATATATATATATATATATATATATATATATATAAATATATATATATATATATATATATATATATATATATATATTCTTAATAACCTGAAGATAAATAATCAGTGTTATTTTGAGTCAATAAGGAAATTAACATGTATTTCCTTGTTCACAGTGTTTGACATATTGCTTGTATCGTTCTGAACATTGATCGGATGAATAATTACCTAAGTACATTGGCAATGTTCCTGGTTATTGTATAGAATTTTTCAAGAACTTTTGAGTAGGTTTAAATGTACTAAACAGCCTATATTCTGAATCTTTTAACCTACCAATCGAACTTTCTTTTTTAGATTTTGTCAAATAAGTTTTTTTTTTTACAATTCTTAATGCATTTCCTATGTAAAATATAGATAAAAAGGATCTACATCATTTTTCACCATAATATTTCTTCAAAACTCATTTATTTCATACAGTTTTTGTATTATATGCATTATTGTATCTTCATTTTCTATGGCTGAAAATGTATATATAGAAACAAGACATGGATATAAAGGTGTAAAGACGAATAATGACCCCCATAGAATAATGACCGGGGGTCATTTTTCGCCATCTAATAATGACTCCCTGTCATTATTCAACGGCGAAAAATGACCCCCGATCATTATTTTACGTCGAAAAATGGCCCTTTTCCCCGTAGAAAAAGTGTCATCACCCAAAAATCTGCATACCCTACGTGACGAAAATGACCCTCGTAGAATAATGACCCCTTGTGCATTAAAGTTGAAATTTATAGGAGGCAAAAAAAAAATCTAGAGGTTGGCCAAAATCCTCATCTGAGCATGTCAGGCATGGTATCAAAAGGGGAAATGGGGCAAAAATGACAAGTTACCTTAGAAATATCTTTGATGAACCCCTCAAAAAGTTTATTGATGTAACAGACTCGTAGGAAGCAATTTCAGTTGGGGGGAGGGGGGGAGGGGCACAGCCATATATTTTTCCAAAATTATTGGGGGCACGCCCCCCCCCCCCGTGCCCCTGGTTCCTACGGCCATGTGTAAGGGGGATTTCCTTTTACTCTACTTTATGAAAAAGTTGGGGTAGGGCAACCAGACTCGCAATGAACATGTTCAAGCGAAAAAAAAAATAAATAAATAAATTCATGAAAATAGAAGGGGAAGGACACCCCACCCCTGATTCTATGCGCCTGAATGTTATGTTCACCTTGTCAACTCAAGTACGAGAGATTTTTTTAACTATACTGTATAAAAAAGAGGGGATGTTTACAAGACTTTCAATGAACTTTTTCAAACTAAAATTGCTCAAACTTGCATTCAGAAAAAAGGGGTGGGGGGAGGGGGCTATACCTCCCTCTTCTCTGATTCTTTGTGCCTGAATATTATGTCCACTAGAATTCGGATGCAGGTGAAATAACTTTTCAGAATTGTTTTTAATCTATTTTTAGTTCAATGTAGGGAAAATAAATCCTTATGTTCACCTGGAAGGTCAATAAAAATGATAAATTGAAAACATTAATGTACATGTACTTCAATATACACTGTATTGAAATGTTTCCATATTGATGTGACAAATGTATCACTGTTTTAAAGTGGATTTTTAAATAAAAATTATTTCTCTTACATGTATGTATCCTATTCTTAGACGACCATGTTAACAGACTTAAATGTACATTATACTTGGATTCTTCTTTATTACTTCAGTCTATATATTTGAAAAGAAATTCCCATATAGATCACTGTTTATAAATAAAATTGAATGCACATTATACGATTGTATATACATGTATTTCAAACATGCAGAAATTTTATGTCCTTCTTATGTTTGCCTCGTCTGCTTCATATTTGGACGTTCTTCTGACTGTAGACGATATAGACCAACTAACAACTAAATTGTCTGACAAACGGGATGACTTCAGCTTTTTCCATCGTCAACTTTCCTTATTTATGTAGTAATATTCCGCTATCATTTGCATATGATGTTTACGTCTACCAACTTATTCGATACCCAAGAGCACGATTAATTTTTAAATCGAGGCAGGCTACTGACAGATACGTGTAAGTTGATGTTACAGGAGTTTCGACAACCTCGTTTAAAGTCAGCATTTCGTAAATTCAGTGGTCGTATCAATGACCCTGTCAACAAATATAACCTATAATTCGGTCAATTAATTGGCCTTTGTTTTTATACTAATTTCAACAACGGAATACCCCGTTTACCTGATTTGTTCATAGGGCTCATGGCGGGTGTGACGGGGCAACAGGGGATGCTTACTCTTCCTAGGCACCTGATCCCACCTATGCAATTTTCGGGGGGCCTTTTTTGCCCTGTTAACAGAACTGTATTGTTTGTGGATATTTTTAAATCAGTACTGTTCGTTATCTTCACCTTTTTTCATTAGGAAATATATCCACAGTGCATCGTTCGCACGAGATATTATGTCATTTGCGATACATTCTACCTCATATATATATATATATATATATATATATATATATATATATATATATATATATATATATATATATATATATATACATATATACATATATATATATATATATATATATATATATATATATATATATATATATATATATATATATATATATATATATATATATATATCTTTGGAATAATTTATTCTTATTTTTCAAACAATGTTCGTTGAAAACTCGTTGTCATATTAAATTTGATTATCGTTACATATATATAAATGTATGTATATAAATGATATACAATGTATAACATGGTGTACATAAAATATAATCTTCTGACAAATTTTTCGTACTCAATAAAATTGTCATTTAATCCTTCTGAACATATATGACAACGTACAGTTGAGTAATTAATGGCCTTGTCCCAAATTATCTGGTGCGTTACGTTTAATGGAACATTATTTTTAATTCTGCAACCAGATTTGCATAGATAGGTGATTTATGAAATCGAGTAAATAAATAAAGAATGCCTTGACACTTAAAATTTTACAAGGTTATGTCAATAAGTAAATTTAAAGTCATAAAATCAATATTCAAGATTTTTTTAAGTATTAATCTTTTCCAACACATTCCTTGTTTCATTTCTTAAGAACATGATCCCACTTTAATTAATCAGTCAAAGTCGTAACGTGTTTTATGTTATACGACCTCACTATCGTATTTTATGTCTACTAGATAAATACAGTGTTCAGAGATTGAAGTACAGAAAATACATTTTTTAAAAAACACTTCATACGCTTCAATGCAGTAGTCCTATGAGAAATTTTAATAATAGAATTCGATATTTTTACTCTGCAGAAACAAATTAGTTAAATTCAAAATTCGAAGATATCTATTTTTCGGAACAGTGTATTAAATAGCATGCAAAACAGAGGTATACGTACATATGAACGAACATTTTGCGATTTATATTGTGAACGTTTAAAATACAAACTGCCACATTGACAAACACCAGCGGAACAAATATATATCGATTTGTTTAACACGCAAGGATTTAACGATAAGATAATTTAACGAGAAGTAATTCAGACATATAAAAAATGCCTGCTGTTGTGAGGTATTTTGATAATGACCACGATGGGGACGTGTGTGTCTGATTTATAGGTTTCTATTGTCTGAGATTTATCTTGATATGGCTGAACCAATAAGGTAAGTGAATGGACATTATTTGTTATAGATCTACAAGATCTCATATTATTATCTGAAATATTCATAAGAAACTAAAAAGGAAAAATAAACACATTTCAGGTTGCTTTAAGGACACCAGTAAGACGGGATAGTACATGTAACTTAATTTTTTTTTATCCTGGATAGTATATTATTTTTAAGCAATTTTCTATGCTTCTGGAGCAAAATCGCACAAAAATTGTACAAAACAGAGTCAAGTATTTATTTAGGCATGCACATTCTTTTCTATATTTTTGAAAAGAAAATGTTGAGGGAAAAAAACAACTGAAAACGTAATTAAGGGAAGCCCAATACCGGAATGGATTGTTTCTCATACCGAACTTTTCATCCTACATATTACATGTATATTGAAGAAATAATTTAAGACATTCATTTCCACTCGTTTACCAGGAAGTAGGAGTCAACTTATCTTCCCGAGATTTTTAAACTTACAAACAATCGCAAACTCTGCACTTTAATCGAGAACTTTAACAATTAATGGGTTTATTAATGAGATATGATCATTTTTTTTACATTGGATATTATACATGCCATTTGTCTCAAAATATAGGAACCATAGCAGTAAATTGATAGTTTAACTTATAAGATATATTCCATCGTATTTACTACGTACTCATAATTTCTATTCGGAGGGTTTTAAGTTCATTTCCTCTATTACTAGTAACTAAACAAAGAAAATATAATTAAATTTTCATTTAAATTTTAAACCCGTCTGATTTGCTCTGTATTGATTTTTTTCTTAATACAGGAATTCAAAAATTATCTAAATTGGCTCCGTGTTTGTAAAATATTTGAAAAATTGTAAATTAGAACACTTCGAAGACGATTATGTTAAGAATAGTATTTGGGGGAAAATTTAATAACACTTTAAACATATCGATTTTTTTTTCTAGTAAGACGGTTCATACAAAGACAATAGTTGCTTCTATAGATATAGGAACAGCCTATACTGGATATGCTTATTCCTTCAAAACCAACCCATACGACATCACGGTGAGAAAATGGACGACAGATGGCATTGTTTCACCTAAAGCGCCATCTTCTGTCTTGCTAACACCGGAACTGAGTTTTGATTCTTTTGGATATGAAGCGGAAAAGAAATTCTCCGATTTATTCGTGGAAAAGGATCATAAAGACTGGCATTTCGTCCAAGGTTTCAAAATGGCCCTTAATGAAAAACAGGTACGGCTTTGATCTAGTAACTGAACAATTAGAGAAAAAATAAATATTTACATTAATATGGATTTATTCATGTAGTATTGTCGATATGGCGTCAACTTTTAGGAATTGCATGGCGTAAAAATATTCATAATAAAGTAACTACAACTGTATATATAGTTGATTTTTATTTTCTACTCTAATATTCTTCACAAAATGGGAAACTGAAAATGGAATTTTTAAACTCATATTATATCTTCCGCAAGGGTAATATTAATCCACTTTTTCGGGTTTTTTTTTTTTTTCAGAAATTTGATATAAATTTCCTGAATATAACTGATATCCAGAATCACTTTGTCCCAGCTAGAGCTGTGTTTACTGGGGTGATAGGTTATCTAAAGAACGACCTTATGGAGCAACTTACGAGTAAAGGTCATGAACATGAAGTGGATAACATTCAATTTGTTGTCACTGTTCCTGCAATATGGAGTGACGCTGCAAAACAAGCAATGGTGGATTCTTCAGTGTGGGTATGGTACAGTGTTGCTTCATATGTTTGCTCTGGCAACCACTATACATTTCTATCATCCTGCAAAGAGAAAATAATTTAATTAATAAGCAACTGTTAATTAAGTTATTAGTTTTCACTTTGCAGAAAGAGGTTGCCAGAGATTCCATCGTGTTTATATACAACAACCTTTAAAGAAACAGAGTCCACTTGCCCTGCACTTACCCTATACTAGTCATAATTATATGCTAAAATGGATGAATTTACTAATTATACAATGCAGTCTTTAAAAGATATTTTTTCCACAATTTTTTAGTCATCACTTAGTATCTAGGTCAAAGATATCAATATGAATGATATGCATTTTCTACAACTGAAATTACAAAGGGACAAAAAGAAGAAATACTAGGTTTATAAGAATCATGATAAAAGTAGAAGCGGTTGGGGGGGGGGATGTCAATATTGCGTTAACATCTCTTATTATTTTTTTATCGTTTACCTTGATCTTTTTTATTCATTCGTGCATAGTAATTATATCGGGCACATGTTCAATTTATCTATCCCATTTTCCATCTAGCATAATGCAACAACTCTTTGGCTCTTATATCAATGCTATTTTCTGGATTGAGGATAAAAACATCATGGTAAATTTAACTTTCTCATTTAAGAATTTCACATCAGCATCATACTAGTATTATGCATTCATTCTCCTATTTATTTATACAGGCCCGTAGGAAGCAATTTCACTTTGAGGGGGCACAACCATACATTTTCAGTTGAGGGGGCACTATTGACTTCCATAGTATTCTATATATCTATAGTATTCTATATAGCGGCAAAATTATTGGGGGGGGGGGGGGCACGCCCCCCCGTGCCCCCCCCCCCCCGGTTCCTACGGCCATGTTATATAAATGCAAGCTTTTGCTTTCAGCAATCTGCACATATACAAAATTCAGCATTAATGCTCTAAGGTTCATAATATCATTCAAATATAGGCAATAAGGAGAATCAAGTGTTAAGCAACTGAGCTCATTCAGGGCCCTCATTGTTTCGCAAAAATGTATTTAATTACCTACGAGGGCTGTTCGAAAATTATTGAGACTATTACTTTAACTCCATAAAGGGCAGAGATAATTTCAGGAAAATTCGTCAACATTTTATATAGAACGAATAAAGCAATTACATGTATACAAAATTTCTAATTTAAAGGGTAATTAGATAAGTTCCGGTGAAATAATAAACATGCATATATCTATTGACCTGGAGCAGCATTGCTACGTCATTTTAACGTCACGTCAGCCGGAGATGATTTTGCATGTGTAACGGTCGGGAAGCGTTTACTCTTCTTTCTTTGTTATCATAATTATATACCCTACAAAATCAAACTGTCTCTTTTCTTAAACGATTCTTTAGAAAATGTGTGCTGTTGCTTCTCTATTGTAAATTTTCATGCATCATTTATATAGGATGACTTAGCATCATGCAGTGACGATTTATGCAATGCGGGTCAACGTTATTAATTCCGTTACGGTAAAATTGGTGGTCGTCCGGAGCTTTTGATTTTACTGTAGTTGAATTATAGGTTAGAAACAAGATGTGTTTGTGAAACACTGATGCCCCCGTATGGCAGCTTATGGCGAAGGTTAAAGTTTCTCAAATGCAAGTCAAAATCCAGGCCAAAAGATAAAAAATGTTGATACCCAAGAAAGATCTTGTCTCGAGGAATACACCTGTGAAATTTGAAAGACCTAGATACAACTGTTCAAAAGTTATGGCGAAGGTTAAAGTTTTTTAAATAAAGTCAAACGTCAAGGTCAAGGTCAAAGTGGTTGGTATCCAAAGGAAGGTCTTGTCACAAGGATTACATATGTGAAGTATGAAAGCCCTAGCATCAACCATTCAAAAGTTATGGCCAAGGTTAAAGTTTTTCAAAAGTAGGTCAAACTCCTAGGTCAAGGTCAAAGGGTCAAAGTGGTTGGTATCCAAAGGAAGGTCTTGTCACAAGGATTACATATGATAAGTATGAAAGCCCTAGCATCAACCATTCAAAAGTTATCGGCAAGGTTAAAGTTTTTCAAAAGTAGGTCAAACTCCTAGGTCAAGGTCAAAAGGTCAAAGTGGTTGGTATTCAAAGGAAGGTCTTGTCACAAGGATTACATATGTGAAGTATGAAAGCCCGAGCTCCAACCATTCGAAAGTTATGGCCAAGGTTAAAGTTTTTCAAAAGTAGGTAAAACTCCTAGGTCAAGGTCAAAGGGTCAAAGTGGTTGATATCCAGAGGTAGGTCTTGTCACAAGGAATACACATGTGAAGTTTGAAACCCTAAGCATCAACTGTTCAAAAGTTATGGCCAAGGTTAAAGTTTTTCAAAAGTAGGTCAAAGTCCAAGGTCAAAAGGTCAAAGTTGTTGGTATCCAAAAGGAAGGCCTTGTCACAAAGAATACACATGTGAAGTTTAAAACCCCAAGCACCAACTGTTCAGAAGTTATGGCCAAGGTTAAAGTCTCATAAAATTTTGCAAAAGTGGGTCAAACTCCAAGGTCAAGGTCAAAAGGTCAAATATGATGGTACCCAAAGAAAGGTCTTGTCACAAGGAATACACATGTGAAATATGAAAGTCATAGCTCCAACCAATCAAACGGACAAACAGACAAACAGATAAACAGACAAACAGACAGACAGGACAAAAACAATATACCCCCGGGATCTTTCGATCCGGGGGCATAAAAAATATATACCAATGAAATACATGTAACAAACCCTTAGACATGTTTTTTTCTCGTTGTTATTGTTTTAGCAGGTTGGTCAGTTTTACATAGTGCTACACAAAATTTTAGGTCTCTTGCTGCTCTGCCTTGACGTCAAAATCCATTTTGTCGTCGTTATCAGATTTCTTTACCGGGCTTAATTTTTTAATGATCTCCGTATTTCTGATCAGAATTCTAACAAACTTGCACAACATGAAGTCAAAATAAAATTTGAAAATTATATACATATATTGAATTATTTTCGCTCTTATTATGGGTCTACCGGGGTGTTGAACATTGGCGTTACATATTTTCATTATCTGATTTCGTGACTGCGCCGGGTACCCCTACCATTGACACATTTATATACAATTCAAGAGAAGAAATTTAATATTTGTAAAGTATTTCTTGCTTTTATGAATTCTTAATGTTTGTTAAACGTACATGTATATGCAAATTTTCACCGAAAGACGTTTATTAGAAAGAAAAATATACAAAATGTCTCAATAATTTCCGAACAGTAATATAATTATTGTCTGCGCATGATAAGTCGACTGCAGTAATCTTTGATATCATTATTAATCCAGGACGATTCTACTCATTTTCCAGTATCACAGGTCACGCAAAATCAATAGTGGGCCTCTACATGGGAGGTGTCTTTTGTAGAGGACACACGCAGAAGGTTCATATATGAAAAAAAATATTTCTGTTGATGACCCCTAAGTTTTGGAACCGTAGTTACATGTACCATTCAAAGGACCCTGGCCACAACCGGTCCAATCCATGTAATTGTGGAAGGAAAAAGTATCCTGACAAATGCTTGAGGGTGTATTAATCATAAGAACTCATTTCGTAAGGACTTATTTTCAGGTAGGAATCAAGAAGGAAAATCTAACAATAGCTTATGAACCGGAAGTAGCAGCAGTGCACTGCCTGACAATTCCAGCCAATCAAGTCACCGTGAGAACAAAAGAAAACATCGCCATGATGTTTCAGCCCGGGTGTTGTTTTCTTGTTTTGGATCTCGGTGGTAAATCTCTATACATTTGAAAATATCAACTCTGATCATAAACTCCACGAAAAAGGAATTTTTATAATCAAAGTAAACTGAAAATTTCTCTCTTAATTTAAGGTGGAAAAGCTGACATTACGGTGCAGAAGGTAGAGAGGGACGGAAAATTAAGTCAACTTTACGCTGCCTCTGGTGGAAGCTGGGGCGGATCATGTGTCAACAACTCGTTCTTTCAGGACCTCAAGAAAAATCTAGGAGATAGAGTATATCAGGAATTTATGAAGAAAAATGTAGGAGATTATTTTCATTTAAGGAACCAGTTTGAGAAAGCAAAACGGAACTTTAAAAACGATCAAGAAATGGTGAGTTTGCACCTTCCTTCATCTTTAGAAAAGATAACGGCAGAGATTTGTGGTAAAAATATTGGAGAAATTCTCAAAGATTTGGACACATGTAAGAGTTTGGCTTACAGCGATGGAAAACTGAAATATACTGCAGAATACTTCAAGACATTCTTCTTTCAGACAATTCAATCAACCGTTGATCAAATCAGAAAGGTTTTAAAAAGCAGGAAATGTAATGAAGTAAAATATATCCTCATGATTGGAGGATTTTCAGAATCAGATATTGTTAGGACCAGAATAAAAGAAACGTTTCCGGGTGTTCAAGTAATTATGCCTGAAGACGCTGCACTTTCCGTCTTAAAAGGGGGTGTACTCTTTGGACATGCGCCAGACACTGTACGGTTTCGAGTTTGTCCGCAGACGTATGGAATATCTATGCATGATTATTTCAATCCAAATGTACATGACTTCTCCAAAAGTTGCAAAGTTGGAAATGTTCAATTTGTTGTTGGATGTTTCGAGAAAATTTTTGAAAAAGATGAAGTGATAGAGGTCGGTCAGAAAAGAAAAATTCGGGTTGCTGAGGACTTCACCGAACAACCCGAGAATGCGAGAACACAAAATAAAGAAATTGAGATGTACTCTTCAGTTGAAAAAGATCCAAAATTTGTCTCAGATCCCGGATGCATGTTACAAAGCACTATCGTTGTATCGCCACCTGGTGGGAGATGGCCAGATGTTGTCAAGGGGAAAATAACTTTTGAAGTGACAGTAACCGGATTAAAGGTTTCCTTCAAAGATAGAAATACAAAATGTTCCAGCGGTGGTGAAATAAAATTCACTGAACCATCGTCGTCAGACAGCACAAGTCCGTTAAATCGATCCTTCAGGAAAGATGTTTCGTAATTAAAGTTTTGTTTTCAAATTTCAACAGTATTTTGAATAATTCACCCAACTTCTTGATTAAGGTATTCGAAAAGCATTAGAAAACGTGACTTACGCCATTTCGATGTTTGTCGGAATGTGTCGGATATCAATGATAATATTTATATAAACTCAGTAATTATAGCACATACCTATTATTTGCAATTTTATTCAGTATTCGTGCCATTAAAGATTAAAATGCTCTATTTCAATGTTTTCATAAAATCTCGAACTCGAGATGGTGGTAAATATTCTGCAATGGCGGTGCCCATGGAAAAAGTCTCCAGGACTACCGAGGCCAATTTACCTCTGATACATGTACATGTAAAGCCAAAGCACGAGGAAGAAAAACAACGCTAGGCCAAAGAAAGTTCTGGAAACATTGTTGTGAATCATAGTTATCTCATTGTCTACATTCATGGTGATACAATGTAATAAAGCATAATTACATAAATGTATGTAAATGATTACATTTCCTGAGAATACTGTATCCGTATAGTTTATCCTATACACATTGTTCATATTGTTATTACATATTGAGCACTATTTTATGTGAGAGACCTATGTCTATATATATATTCTATTTTTATGAAAATGAAACATGGAGAAAACGAACAGCAATCAGCCCAAAAGTCCACCAAAAACACAAATCGGGAGCAGAGCAAGCACGGATGTTGTAATTTGGGTTGTAATGCTGTTCCCTATAAATACCAAATTCATAAAAAAAAAAACAAGATGTCTCCAGTTGCAGCTGGTCCTGGGTAAAGCCCACGCAGGTAATTCAGCCCACTTCCTGTGTCTGTATCGGTCACTAAAACGTCATGCAATCGATTACCTGTAAAAAGATATATACGAGTATGTTAAATGTTTTAGTCTAAAAAAGTTACTTATGCATATTATATGCTTAGCTTGGCATCCGTCTTTAAGTCTGTGGAGTCGTTAAGTTTTGTTTTGTTTGTTTGTTTGTTGTTAAACGTCCCACTATTTTTTCACTCATATGCAGAAGCCACCACTTGCCGGTGGAAGGCTACAAATTTTGACCTATACTCGACACTCAGGGCCATTGAGCAGTGAGGGTTTTTTTTCGTACCAACACCTACTGCAACACGAGACCTCGGTTTATACGGACTGGTTTCCTCGTCCCGCAGTGGATTCAAACCGGCGACTTAAGGATCAGCACCTTACTCCGCGACTCTAGAGCAGACGCTCTAACCACTGCGCCACGAGGGGGACTGAGGTCCTTAAGAAATTATCGCATAAAACGAAAGATACTTAAAAGGGATGGATGCACAAATGAAGCCACTTTTCAAAAATTCTGTTTGCCCTCTCCCGCCGACTGATTAAAAATGGTACGACTCAAAACCTCTTTAAACCTCAAGGAAAATATTGATTTTATTTTATTTTATTTTTTTTTGTGTTCCGGAATTTTCTCATCCCTATCAACAACTATTTTAATCTTATTAACATCTTCAGTTTCAATAAATTAGAAAATTGAGCACTGATGTTAATTGTTTTTTGAAAAAAAAATTACTACGTACCCAGAGGAGGTTATGCATTTCAAGATTAAAATATCACGTGACCGGAAAGCCCGCCTACAGACGCCATTGAAGAATGGACGATTAAGGGTTTTGTTGCTGATTTGATCTGCCAAGGACTCCTCAGGGTCGCAGCAGCTTAACTGAAATCGAGACAAAGTCTTCTTAAAGCAGGTCACAAAACACCAGAGTCACTACGCTGCCACCAATTTTGTAACGTTAAGCAGTCGTCAATCCAAAGGCTGTACAGAATTGCTGCAATTTTACTTGCCTGAAATCAAGAAAGACTCTACCGCATCATAGGAAAAGCTAGCTCTCTAATAAGACAGTATAATTTCACCATATAGTACTACCTGTTCCACTACAATAAAACAATATCATGATTCAATGAAAGAGAAATATATAGGATGTTCCTTAAATATATTTGACAATAAGAAACAATGATGAAAGCTCTAAAACAATATTGAGAGCACAGAAAACACGGACCCTCAGGAAACAGCAAAGGATGGATTAAGTGCAATAGAGGAGAAAGCATCCCCTGGCGACTGGTCACGCCCACGGGAGCCCTTTGGTTTGATTATCCGTAAACAAATTAGCATGAAACCAATAGCGAATACAAAATTTATTACGCTGTCTGTGACTGACAAATAATACACAATACTGACTAACTACCTCTACTAACTACCTATCTCTACTAACTTCTTATCTCTATTGACTACCTCTCTTATTTCAGGCCCCAAGACTATAAACTGAAAACGTACTTAAGTCAAATTTCAAATCATAATAATAATAATGAAACATACTTTTCAACATGTGTTTGAATTTATGTATTATAAAAATCTGTACGTTTTTATGCACATATGTTGCATGGAATGAAATATGTGGAGATAACGAACAGTATTCGAGCTCAAAATTCCATTAAACGTTACAAAATAGGAGCAGAGCAAACACGGACCCCTAAGACATCAGAGGTGGGATCAGGTGCCATGGAGGAATGAACATCCCCTGCCGACCGGTCACACCCGCCGTGTGCTCCTTGTCATGATCGGGAAATAACCGAAATTCCCTCGACAATTCAGTGTATAAATAATGGCCTAACAATTAGTATGAAAAAAGTCAGTCAGCATTTGACTTAACGAAAGATTGTATTTGCTGACAAGGTCATTGTATCGACCATAGAACTTACGAAATGATGACTTTAAACGAGACTGCTGATATTCTTGTCTTATCAACTTGTTTGTCAATAATTTACCTCGTTTTAGAAATTGTTCATACGTAGAGCATGCTCTTGCGTATCGAATCAACTGAGAGATATAAACCCCGTATGCAGGTGATAAAGGTATATTGTTGCATAAATAAGGGAAGTTGACGATTGAAAAGTTAAAGTCATCACGTTTATCATAAAGCTTTGTTGTTAGATTACCATTAACGTCTTTTTCTAATAAAATATCCAAATATGAAACAGATGTGTCAGACTCTGTGGTATCTTTTATCTCAAGCTCACTGGGATATATCGTGTCGACATAAGAATGGAAATGACCATTGTTAATTGACAATACGTCGTCGATATATCTAAATGTCGAGTTGAAGGCCACAGCAAGTGTTTTTCTTTTCACGTAAAAGATTGTGAACAAATTCTGCTTTATATGAATACAAATAGGTCTGCTAATAACGGGGCGCAATTGATACCCGTGGAATTCCAACAGATTGTTGGAAGACCTGGTCTCCAAAAACCTAATAGATATTGTCAATCAGAAACTCAAGTATCTTTTTTTTAATGTCAACTTCAGAGTACTTATGTGTGCAATCAGATTGTTTTTTAACAAAGTAATTTTGCAAATGACCAATGACAAGTTAATTTACGAGTTCCATTTTTATTAAAAAAGCAGTTGTCAACGATGTCAGAAAGTCTGGACTTTAATTTATCGTGGGGAATAGTTGTATATAAAGTTGAAAAGTCGTAAGTTTTTATGTTGTTGATTTTGGGGAAAAAATTGTGATTTCAAATGTTCCAAAAGTTCCTTGGAATTTTTTAGTATCCACATCTGATTTATACCACTTCTCAAATATATTGTTGCACAGTACTCTTGAAGTTTCTCCTTCACTACTATTAATATCTTAGTGAGAAGTAAAGAGAGGTTTGGTAGAACATTTACTGGAACCCGCTATGCATCTTTGTAAGGATTTTTATGAAGTTTCGGAATCCAATATAGATAATATGGTAAATCAAATTCATTTTGGTTGTTGGGAATGTTAAAAAATATTCAAAACTGACATGAGATTTTGAAGAATTTCCTCCTTAGAAAGGGATCTATGGGTATAAGTTGGACTACCACTTGTAGAATTAAATCCCAGTTCCTCTAAAATACAATTTATATAATGAGCCTTACAAACAAAGACAATGTTGTTACCTGCTTTGTCAGCAGGGACCAGTACGTACTGATCGTGTAATCTATCCAATTCTTTTTTCACTTCTGATTTATTTAATACAGAAGGATAGATGGTTCTCATACTGCCCCTCAATCGTTTAATGTGAGATTTTAACATATATCTGATACATTTAATCCATTCTGACAAAGCGTCAAGTTCTTTTTCATGTCTGACCCAACGCCTGGCATAAAACAAACACAATGTTGCAATTGGGTGTCGTCTATCGCCGCTGGGCAAGAATATGCTGACGTTGTTATAATGTTTCTCTTTGGCAATCATTTTTAATTTATCCGCAATTAAGATTTACGCAAAAATGAATAAATTCAGAAATAACATTCAAACAAAGAACTCAGAGCAAAACCATTTTTAGCAAAATGGCAATAAATATTATAAAGAGAAGCACGTGAGAGGTTAAAAATGAGATATGCGGGTGAACAGAAAATAAGTGACGAAAAATAACGTCATAACGACGTCAGTAACATTATTGCCTTGCGGCGATAGACAAAATATAATGTTGAGTTTATATCTTTTAAATACTTATTTTAATCTTAATCACAAATTTTTGTTGGGGATTAATTATCGTTGTTTTCTTGGTATGAAGAGACCCACGAATTCATATTCCCCTTGCAACATAATGTTTATCCTTTAACCACTACATCAAATCCCCTCGAACCTGCAATTTTTCCTCAAACCACGAGAATCTGACCTGACCAAAACTAATTTGTCAAAAGTATTTTAATAAGTATTAAATATTTACATAACTGAATGACATTTTAAGGCAAAAATCAAAATAGATACGGGAATAAGTGTGTATAATTTTGCTATTAACCGTGATTAACATTCGCTTATTGAAGATTTTATAGCAGCTGTGACATTACTTTTAGATCATCCCCCTTACTTTATGATAAAATCAGTAAAATTGAATTGATTTGTACTATCGATTTGAAAAATGAAATCCGAGTATATAATTATTCTTATGTACAGAACATTATCATAAGTCACTTTATGGGATAATGCTTTACAAATTGGATCGATCGGTTTTTAGGTAAATTAATCCGAAGAAAATATGTCAAGATTTGTAAGATATTTGTAAGCATATTAGTGCTACATTGAAGCTTTTTTTTATTTTCAACACTTTAATATGTAAAATTTACACAATTCAATCTGAAATTATTACAATTTTATCTATAAAATTTACTTTTATATCTGCACAA